ATGGAATGGTGTGCTAATAAGGCAATACTCTAAAGATATTACAAAGAATATTGCACTATGGGGCAGAAGGAGAGTGAATAAATTTAGGTATAAATACAAATTATTAGTACAATTTTTTTTTCTCAGAAAGGTAGGGAAGTGAGATTTTCATTGTAGAAATGGTAATAATTAATATATGTTGTTTGGAACAAAAGATTTTTTATGTAACTGTAGCTAAATTGTATTACAATGAATTGGGCAAATTCTCAAAGAGTAAATTAAAGTAAAGTAAAGTCAGTTTACTTAAATTTCTGTCAGAAATGCAAATTTTCAATTTTTTTTTATCACTGGCTAGAAAATTTAGTGGTCTTTCTTTTCAAAAAAGTTCAGAATGATAAGCTCTAAAGTGGTCTTAGAGATACAGAGGATAAGCTATTTTGAACTTGTAATTACCACAGCGTGTTGACAAATTCCTGTCATTGCTAAGGAATTCATCCTCTTTCATGTGTACGTGTACATTGTTCAACAGATCCAGAGTTGACCAGAATTATTATCCTTTGTGCGATTGTGCTTCGTTTCTCCGGTTCTTTAAAGTTGTCCATAGTTTCTTCATTTGACTATTTTGCTTGCTGTTTCTACATTCTGAATTTTTGATGTCTTCAAAGAAACAAACCATTGTACCCTTTTGGGTTGGGAAAGAAGCTGAAATTGTGAGAGAACAACTTAGCCATTTTCTGCTTCAAAGGTTACCAATTTTGCTGCAAGTGATCACAGCGATGTGACCTAATTTTGTTAAGCATCTGCTCGCTTGAATTTTCTGCCGGACTTTCATGGCATAATCAGCTTGTTACAATTTGTTTTCTTGCAGTTTGATTTATGGTGATCTACGGCTGGTTCACGATATTCTTCGCATCTTTATAGCCATTTTGGCATTCAAATCACCAACTTTCCTGACTAAATTGAGTACCGAACAAGAAATCTCACTGCATTTCGCCATTTCTCATACCACCATAGTATACGTGAAGTTTTCCTAAAGTTTCTATAATTGTGATGTCTGTTAAATGCAGACTGTCATCAACATCATAGTTATGGTAAGCGGATCCTTGGACTCATTTATCAGCACATGGTTAAATCCAACAGTTTGTGTGTCATCAATCACTTAGAACAAACCAAATTGGAAATTAAAGCTTTTTTTTCATCAGTGTATCTCAAAACCTTAAATTCCATACAGGAATGTACGTTTAAAGTTCATTTACAGCCACCTTTCGATGGATTTAGCTGAAATTTGGCTGAAATGTTCTCACTCCAGATAGA